CCCACACCGGCTCCGCGGGGTGTTTTCTTTGCTGCCGTTTTCCCGGGTCGTGTTTGTTTGCTGGCAGCAGCAGGTTCCCTCGGCTCTTGCTGCCAAGCACACGCAGCCGTCAGCGCTGGAGCGGGTCCCAGGGACCGTGTGTCCCTCCCTGGCTCTGCGGGGGCCAAGGGGCTGGGGCACTGCCCTGGGCACCCTCCCGGCCATGCGGCATCCCCAGGAGGGCAGCCTGGGCGGCTGCGTGGGTGCTTGGCCATGTTCTGAGCCCAGGCTCGGGCACTCCCTGGTCTGGTACAGGAGCAGCTTCTCCCAAACAGGGAGGCAGGACCCAGTGACCAAGCCGGGAAGATAGGGGAGAGGGACTCAGGTGGGGATGGGTGGGTTGCATGTGGATGGAGTGGAGATTAGACAGGTGCCCAAGTATTTCTGTTCTCTCTGTTGGGATGGGTGGATTTTTGCCCTGGGGGTCTGAGGCAGGCTGCAGAGCTGGGACAGCTCATTCTGTGCCGTTTCAGAAGCGTCTTGCACAGGCACACAGGTACACTCACTGGGGACACAGGCCAGGGGGCAAGGCAGGGTTGTGGGATGCATTTGGGGAATTACCCTGGCTCTTGGGCAGAGGTACTCATGACTCCGTCCAGGTATGTTCATGCTGTCCTGTACTGGTGGAGGACACCCCAGCCAGACCTAGCCAACAACTTGGCAGCCATTTGCCTGATGCTGGTACTTTGCTGAGCAGCCACATCTGCATCACATATGGGCTGGCACAAACCCAGCAGCCCCGTGTGAGCTGGGCAGACCCTGCACCACACGGGGCACTTCTAGGTCCATGTCATTTCAAACTGGTGCCTGGCAGCAAACCATCTAACATGACATAGTGGTGACAGTCTGTTGCAAACAGGGATGCTCTGCCTCAGCCCAGGGGCCAGCAGGGGCAGGGTGGCTGTAAACCCCATCCCCACTTGGTCACATCACCCATGCCACAGCCATGTTGTGTTGTGGCCCCAGGGCATGCAGGGCCGTTGTGCCAGCCAGGAGGCATGGGGTCATGTTAGCTGATCACCTGCCCCAGCTTCATTCTCTGCAACACAGTCACGAGTGCCAGGTCCTGCCAGGCCCCTTTGTTTTCTGGGCACAGCATCCCACAGCCCAGGAGGAGGTCTTGGGAGCAGCCCATGCCTTTGCTGCTGCAGGGCATGCCAACACCCCCAGGGAAAGCACAGCACCACCAGCCTGCCTTCAGCCAGGAGCTGAGCCCAGGGCCCTGCTGTCCCTGGATCTGGCCAGGCTTCCAGCACTTGTGGTTGGGAACATGCCCTTGGGAAGGCTTTTTCCACCCACTGCAGAAAAGCAGTGGGAAATGACATCTCTGCCTGGCTCCATGCTGGGTGATGGGGAGGGCATGAAGTGTTTTGGAGTCTCCTACCCAAGCCCTGCCTAGCCCACTCATGACTCTCCCCCACTCTGGGGATCTGATCCCATGCCTTTTTCCCAGGGCTACCTCCACTGCAGACCCCAGGGAAGTGCTGTGGCCAGTCTGTGCACCTGGGCTATGCCACCAATGGGAGACGTGCCCTCAGGGGGTGACACCTGACATGCTGGGAACCCTCTGGGTCCTCCTGGGGCCCAGCCTGCCCCTAATCCCTCCCCTCATGGTTGGGAGCCAGAAGGCCAGTGGATCTGATTGATCCTTCCTGTGTGCACCTTCTGGCTTTCCTGACCTTGAAGAGTGGCTGCCCAATGTGCCACAACCCAGGCCCTATAACAGCCCTTGGGGAGAAGATCGCAGTGTGGAACACTCCTTGGCGATGCTGAGACACGGAGCATGGAAGAGCACAAGCCCCTCCTGAGGTGCCCCCATGCCTGCCACAGGGCAGCAGCAAGCTGCTGGATTGTGCCCATGGGATGGATTCTTCACTGATGAGAAGCAGCACTAATGGACTCCAGGCAGTTTCTCCATGAGCCTGGGGATGGCTGGCAGAGGGCTACCAACATATCCTTGCCAGAGTTGGTAGCTCCCAGGGGTGTGTCTCTGCTGTCCCCTTGCTTCTGGTCCAAGTTCCCAGAGCATCTTCAGGCACATGGAGACCAGGACACTGGGCACTGCCAGCCCAGGCTTGGCATCTTGCTGCAGCAGGAAAGAGGTGGTCATGGGCTTGAAGTGATTTGGTGACACAAGGATCAGTCTGTGGTGCAGTGAGTGGCTGGGACACCAGGTAGGATGGGGATGCTACTGATGTCACCTGCCTGGCCAGGAGTAATTGGGCCCTAGATAGCCCCATATTTGTTGCCCCACAGATCCTGTTTGCCCTGGCAGCACTGTGGAGTGGCTGTGGGCAGGGAGGCTCAGACACAGGCTGAGGGTGACACAGGACATGGCGCTAGGGACTGTGGTGGCTCTGGGGACCACCAGCCCCCCAGAGACACTGTTAGGCTGGGCTGGCATAGGAGAAGCATGGCAAGGCGTGGTGTGAGCCCGAGTACGGGGGGTCCCAGATTCACCCCGGCAGCAGGGTGTAGGGTGCCCAGGGGGCAGCGGGGTGTGCCAGGAGGAACCACACCCAGGGGATTTGGTGGGCACAGCCTCTTGCTGGCAGGTCCCCTCTCCACTGCTTCGTCCAACCAGTTCAACCACTACTGGCTGGGAAAGAGAAAGAGAAGAGTGCTAGAGCCGAGGCCCTGCCCTGCAATGTCAGGGGCACAACTCGGTGCCCACCTACCCAGTTCCCTCCACCTGCAGCACCTGGGGCTGGGTCAGGTCGGCTGCCTTGGGGGACACAGGCTGGTGCCAGGACCAGCTCCCTTTAGGCACCCGGCAGGCACCATGTGCTGGCACTGGGGTCACCTCACCCCCCACCCAGCATCCCCACCTGGGCAGCTGTGGGGGTTCCTGCTGCCCCCCGCTCCAGCAGCTCTGCCGAGCTGTTCCGCAGGCGGGGCTGCCACCTGCCGGCTGTCCCCAGGGCCACGCTGACAGCCAGCCGGGCTGTCCCCAGGCAGCCTGTCTCCTCCCAGCCTCAGGAGACTCCTGGGGTGTGCAACCGGGCGGGAGATCAACCACAGTGGGCAGGAGACACCGAGCCCCTGCCCCACAGCACCTTCTCAGGGCCTGGCCAGCTCAGGGTCTGGGGGACCTGGGGACCCCTCATGGGGGGGTGATGTGATGCTGCAAGGTTGGGGATGTTCTGGTTTGGGGCCGCCTGGCTGGGCCCCTTTATCCCCTCCTCCTCCTCCTTGCCGGGAGAGGGGCAGAGCCTGGCTGGGTCTGTGCTCCCTCTACCTCAGCCTCGCTTCCCCACCTCCTCTGGCTGCCTGAGGACTCATCTGGCAGGATGCAGGTCGCCTTCTCACAACACGTGGCAGCCCCTTTGCCAGGGGGCATCAGGATGGGATGGGCAGTTTCCAACTGTTCTCTCCTCCTCTTCAAAGCCATCTCTGCTCTGTCACTTCATTTCAGAACATTTTATTTGTGAAGACAAAAAAGCAAGGAACAAACACAGCCACTGAAAAAAACATTGTACATCATGAGACCAAAATAACTTACGCTATTTACAGGAACACATCGAGGTATAAAGTATATATACACACCTTGTCCTCTGTGAAACCCAGACTGTTGGACTGGGCTGCAAGACCCAGCAGAGAAAAAAAAAAAAAAAAAAAAAAAAAAAAAAAAAAAAAAGTGCCTTGATGAGAGTTGGCCTTTAGAAACAG